AGTAGAATATAGAGGGCTGGGCACGTGTGGAACCAAGGGATGAGGCCAGATCAATTCATAAATAAAAAATAGCATCTCACTGTGTGAATACAAGAAGAACACCAGGAAAATGAAAGCAGAAAACATCAACTGTGTACATGATTCCAAGTAAACAGAGTTGTATAGTTGATGTGGCTGGCTCAAGCCTGAATTTCTGACATCAAATGCAATGTATTGCCCCTAGATTAAAAAAAAAAGTTTCATTAAAAAAATAGAAATGACTCACAAGACCATTTTGCATCAAATTTCTCTGAAAATTAAAACTGTAATTTCAAACTCCATAAATATAGAGGAAACTGTAGGATGGACACTGAACTCCTGAAGGGCAGTAATACTCCTCTGGGTACTGCAGGAAATGAAGGGATCCATAATCTTCATGATAGTCTCAAGTCTGTAACACAGACAACTGAAGCACTGGTCCAAACTGTTCTCTCGAGGACCATGAAGGAGAAACAGCTCTGGGCTCCATTGGGAGCGTTTCGGGGGTCCATAGAAATGGGGCTGCTCTGTAAAGTTTTAAAGAGTTTTCCAGGTGATTCCAAAATAAAATTCAGTGGGCCAAAATTTGCAAAATGCTGACTTAAAGACTTAAGCATAATTCTCTATTGATTTCTATTGCTGATACAACAGGTTACCACAAATTTTGAGGGTACACACAAGTTACGTACAGTTCTGTAGGTCAGAAGTCTGGCATAAGAGCTTAGTGGGACAAAGTCAACGTGTATGCAAAGCTGTGTTCTTTTATGGTAGTTCTAGGGAAGAATCTACTCCTTCCCTCTCCTTTTCCAGTTTCTAGAGACCAAATGTCTTTCTTCACTCCTTCCTAAAAGCCATTCACATTACTCCTCTCTGAAAATTCCTCTCCCCTTGTCTCTTTTCCTTTGCTTCCAATTTTAAGGACCTTGTGATTATACCAGACACACCCAAATAGTACAGTTAATCTTTAGATTTGACTTCACCTTAATAACAACCTTACTTCCGTCCACCTTCAGTCTTAAGTCCTCTTTGGAATGTGATTTGGCAAACTCACAGATTACAAGTTTAGGATGTGGGCACTTGAAAGAAGAGATCACTGTTCTTTGGACCACAAGTTTATGTGCGGTACCCAGGGGAAAAATAACCTTTCCCCTATAATCTTATGTTTAATAACTCAGTTAATGAGTCTTCTACCACTTGCTGTTATGTAATTATCTGATCAGTAGGACTAGTAACAACTGGAAACCTGTTATCAATAAACAGCCCCTCCTGACAGGTGCCATCAATTCAGTAGCTCATTGAGGTGTAGAACCATGTTGCTTTTGTTTCTGTAACTTTTGGAACTTAGCTCATTCAATAACAGCTAATCAGCATACAGATAATGTAGCTGAATAATTGGGATGGTTGATTATGCTTATGTGTAATTAACAAACCCAAAGGCCTACTCTCTTTTAATGAGTCTTTTACACAGAGACACTAATAGCATGATTCGGATCAGTCTCCTCTCCTACTGCCAGGTGCTGCTCGTGGTGTATCCGCCTCAAATACATACACAGAACTCTTACTGTTTGATTCCTGCGACACAGTAGTCTACCTTGGACTGAATGCTTGCTGTTTGGGTAGTCATCGGCAGATTTGAGGCAATGTGGCCTGGTGAGAAAAACAGTAGTGTCATGACAGTCATATATTAGTATCAGTAATAGTAGTTATCATGTGATATACCCTACACTGTGCGCGCGCACACACACACAGAGTTGTTAATTGGACATTGGATGATTTCTCTAAAATAAATATTTCTTCGTATTTCTTCATTCACAGATCAGGAAATAATTTCAAGCAAATTTATATAAGTCTGTATCTAGGGAGTGACAACTTAATACAGGAGCTAAGAAGCAGAGGGATAGCAAATGGTCCTTTATCATGTTCCTGTTCTGACCAAATAACAATGTGGATGTTACCTTCTGATCAAAAGTAAGCCGAAGAGAGTCATATTGATTTCAATCAGTGATCGATGTCATAAAGCTCAATTTCCATTACATCATCTAAAATGCCAAGTGTACATTTAAAGTACATTTCCTTCTTCATCTACTTAAGCTAGGTATTCTACCCAAAACTTCCAGTATATTAAATTTAGCTTTAAAACAAAATCAGGAACTCTGTGCAAAATCAGGAGCTCTTTGTTTCACACTGATCTGTATCACCAGATCAGATCAGTCCTTGCCACCAGGGAGATTTACCTGGCCAGTCAGCCTCAGGCAGCAGCTACCTTGAAATCATACAGATTTGTCAAACACTATCTCCTCCCTCTCAGGCTGTCTATTTCCTCGCCAACCAAGCTTCCTTTTCTCTCCCTGTCTCTTTGCGTGGGTACTGTCTTCTCATCCTTTGGATGACTGTGTAAACTCCAGTTTTGCAGAGAACTCTCCTGATTGTTTTCGCTAACATCGTCCTCCTCCTTCCCCTGTGGTTACCTACCAGACCACCTGTGCTGACTCTGTCCCTCCATGTTCTGTGATGTGTATTTATGAATTTTTTGCCTGTGTGTTACTTGTCCCTTGTGGAGCCGTGCATTTACTGTTATATTCCTACCGTACAACACTGGGTCCAGAATTCAATGAGTGCTTTTTAAAACAAATATTTTTCCTAAAGCTAAAGAGTGAAATTTCACCTGTATTTTATTTTTGAATCAGATTTCAGAATGTAAGTGATCTGGAGTCTTACATTCTGTTACGATTTGTTTTCTGAGGATCTTGGATCTGTTTCGATGTATTTTCTTTTTTGTCTTTTAGTTATGTGCACATTAAAGTAAGTTAAAAACAACAAAACCACACCTACTAAAAAATAAAATTAAAATTAAAAACTTGCAATTCAAAATAAAAATTCTATTCTAGGTTCTGAGACAGGCCCAGGCTTTTGTTTTTTAAGTCTTCCGAGTGACTGTGATTGATACCAAAGTTTGAGTACCCCTGCTTCACAATCCTGATCTATTTTTGCACTTGTATATGCTGTGGTCTGTGAGATTTAACCCTGTTTAATCTGCTAGTCAGTGGTATCGTCTCAGGGCCTTTCTGACATGGCTGATTAGTGAGTTTACGATGCCTCGTCATTTGTGCCCCTTGCTGTCTTTCAGCCTTTTGTCCTTCAAACCTGTTTCAATGCTGACATACTGATTTTATAATATAATTAGGAATGAATCTTGGACATAAACTTTATGCAGATACAGCTCTCAAATGACTGAACATATTTCTACATACAGTTTTAAAAGAAATTCAACAAAAAATATGTTTTTAAAATATTAATTTGTAACTTTGTAAACATTAATTTGTATTATGAATAAATACTAGTTTCTATGTTTAGAGCTATTAATTTCTTGTCCTATGGGCGTATTTGTGGCTTTCAAATTAATTATTCCACCTGAGAAAAAAAATGTACATGCATGTAGTCATGCACAATAGGAATTTTGAAATTAAGTCCAATGGTATTAAGTCATTTGCTTCTGATCCTTCACCAATCAGTTTTTGCTTAAACAGATTACGGCATGAACACATAATGAAAAATATAGTTTATTAAATAGTAAAGATAAGCCATCTGCATTGAGGTTACATTGGCCAGGTGTTCTTTCCAGTCATAGCTATCAGTTCAGACCCCTTTATAAGCATCCAGAGTAGTTCTGGAAAGATACTAACACTTCAGGCATTTGTTCATTCTACAGTGCAAGTGCGTGTTGTTAATTTATTTTTACATTGGATTTTACTTTCCTTATTTAAACATGGAATGACCTCAGAATTTTTTATTTGACAAATTTTCAGAATATTGCTTGTTTTGGATTTGATGTGTGAATATTCTGAAGATCATCTTATACTAAAAAAACTTTGCATAATATTCTCCAAAATACTGAAATACATGATATATCCTCCATACTGATAAAAAGAAAACTATCTTATACTGTGTTCTCAGATTTAAACATCTGATTAATGTACCTCATTTTATGTGAGTGGTGACATAAGATCCTTTAATAGAAACTTTTCAAAATATTCTATTTATACTATGAATGTCAATGTAGTGACAGTCCTGAATATTTTAAGAAATCTTTTTAATCTTCTTACAAATCCATCTAGGTGATATTCACCCTACTCTATGAATATTACTATCACTTTTACTTAATTTTGATTGATATAACATAATTTTTTCACAATAATAGCAATAATATGTTTTGTGATTATAGCTTGTGATAAATGAAATAAAGGACTACAATAATGTAAGAAATTGGAGGAAAACTTGTTTTATTTTCTTTAACAGAAACAATTTTATTAGAGGCTAAAGGAAAAACCTCAGATCAGGCAAGCTGTAAATCTCAGCAACTGCCTGGAAGAGAAAAGTGGAGAAGAGAGGAAGAGAGAAAGCCCGGCCTGAAGAGAAAGTTAGGCATGAAGGTTCAGCAAGCAGCCACATGACAAGTGGGGGCAGCTCCAGAGAAGGTGTGAAAAACCCAGAGCACCAGAGAAAGCACACCTAGGTCCTGGTTAGCATCCAAAAGAGACAGAAAGGAGAAAAACGAGAAGTATACCTTTGGTGGGCAAATCTACCAAAGCCTCAAGGCATCAGTGCAGCAGCACCCAACATAGGGATTCTGAGAAGGAAAGCTGCATCATTTTGTAAGAGAATTATTAGTCCACCAGGGGGGATCAGTGTCTAGACTGCAGTTTCAGGCTCTCACTTTTGAATGCTGAGAGAATATCTCTGCTTTGTGGAATGAGCCACCTTTCCCCATCCCTCTACCTTGTTCCAACATTTTCCAGTATTTATTTAACTTAGAGTACTAAGTGGATAGAAATAAATCCTTTTGAAACAATGCCTATGCTCTTCAGGTAAAGATATTACTTCAAGCCAAACCATAAGCATACCTGAGAATTCATGACGTTGGTGAACAATAAACTATTCTGAAGTGAAATGACTTTTGATCTCCTGTGCTGTAATGTTCCTAGATATCCGTGGAATACAGGAGTTTCTGGACAGAGTATCTCAGCAGGGAATGGACGTGGCTCTTCAAAAAGTGGAAAACAACATCAATAAAATGATCACTACCCTCTTCGATACCATGAGGATTGAGGAACTGAATCGCTATCGAGACACTCTTAGGAGAGCCATTCTTGTTATGAATCCTGCCACAGCCAAATCCTTCATAAGTGAGGTAAGTAGATGTGTTCCGGGTGTAGCAAGGGATTACAGCATGCAGAGGCATCCTTTGAAATGGGCCCCCCAGAGATGAAAGCAAAAAGCAGAGAGAGGGAATTAACTGCAGGATTCTCATTAGCACTAATGAAGGAAGTGCAGTGAACTGCTCGCTTATTTCTTTTGCTCCATACCACCCAGTTAATTACTAGGAATATGTGTATTTATGTATTTAGGCCCATAGTCTAAATAGGACACTTTTTAGAAGTCTCATGGGGATTTCAAAGCACTGTTGACCTGAATGAATCTAACAACTTTCAAGAATGAATTCACAAGTTCGCAGCAAACTAACCCATTTGTTGTTGCTGTTTTTCCAAGTTAAAATTTTACTTCTGAGAAAAGATTTACTAGAATCAGCCTCTAGTTGCCTAAAAAGATGATTCTATTGAACATATCACAGCTTCCCTTCTGCTCTGGGAAACCTGTACCAAGACAAGCAATTAAAACTATCTGTGGCTTCACAAAGTAATGGCCACTGTACATGTTGTGAGCTCACATCCTCAAAATGTTAGTCATAACTGTTGATTTGGTTAGAAGCCCTGAAAGTTCGTAAAAGTACTACCTATACTGTACTGATTGAGAGGGTATCTATGTACCCTAAAATGTTTGTGATTGCTTTGCAAAAGACCCTTCTTTCCTCATTGCAAGTGTTTAATCTCACATAATGGTAGTGTTTGTTCATTTTATTACACACTCCCACACATGCTTTTAGAGCTGTTGACTTTATTTGGTGAATGTTTCTCCTCATTTCCCAAGGTGCTTCCTTTACTCTTTAAATACTGTATAAGATTTCAAATTAGAATGTGTCCTTTGATACTGCGTAGCATGATGGTTAGTAAGGATCTTGAAACAGAATATAAATCTTTAAAGAAAGTAAAACATGGAAAATTATCACTTGTTAAATTTTAATATTAATTTTATTATGCAACTTTAAGGACAAATAGATAATTTGACCTTCTAAGGTTAGCCAGTGACAAAATATCACTGAATGATGAGATTTTTCTGTAACAGAAAAACATTTCCAGTTATTGAATTCACCCTTTCCTTTCTGTTAGTCACTTTTCTCTCTCTCACAGAATACCTGGAAAAAAAAATAGCTTAAAGCAGAGATTTGTTTCCACTCATGGATTCAGAGGTTTCATTCCAAGGTCTCTAGGCCTGAGGGAAACTGCAGCATGATGTTTGGGAGCAGGTGGCTAAGCAAATCTGCTCATCTCATGAGGGTCAGGAAGCAGGAAGAGTGAGGAAGGCCCTGAGACAGCAAGCCCCTCCCCCCCATGACCTACTTCCTCCAATTAGGATCCAGTTCCAAAAGTCTCTTCCGTCTCCAAATAATGCCATCAAAGTATGATCCGCCACTAATGAAGGCAAAGCCCACATGGCCTGATCATTTCCCACAAGCTCCACCCTGAACACTGACTGTGCTTGGGACCAAGTCCTCAGCGCATGAACCATCTCAGAACACAATTTACACAAACTACAACACTTAAAAGTCACAAAATCCTGGGGCTGGAGATATCACTCACTAGTTAAGGACACTGACTGCTCTTGCAGAGGACCTGGGTTTGATTCCCAGCACCCACATGGTGGCTACAACTGCCCATAACTCCAGTTCCAGGGGAATCCAAAGCCCTCTTCTGACCTCCGCCACATTGCATGACACAGGTGCACTCACATACATGCAGGCAATACACTCATACACATAAAATAAAAATAATAAATATTTTAAAAAGTCACAAAATCCTCTATAAAGTCACAAATAAGTACATAAAGATATAAATTGGAATATTATAATTGCAATAAAGGAAGTTGAAATTTCTGTGGTCACTTCTGTCTTGGATGATCAGGTAAGATTTTACTGAGAAGGTGCTTTTGAGTTTGGTTGGGTTGCATGGATAGGAATAACAACATATTAAATTAACTATCTTAGAGTATAATACAAGTTAATGAGATATCCTGCAGTATGCTTCCAAAAGGCGGTGGTGGGGAGACCTAAAACCAACAAGGATATATGAAGATAGATACCTTGATTGCATATTTTGCCTAAAGAAAGCAGTTTGGAATATATTAAAAGTAGGTCTGTAAAGAACAGCAGTTCCAGACGCTATGTGAAGCGTTGATTTACAACAGGGCGAGAATTCACAGCTCTTCAGAAAACCATGGCTATTAATGCACTGGAAGGGGAACGGCATGCTCAGGGTAGTTGCTGTGGAAAGCCTGTGGGTAGAGAGAAGTGAGAGTCCTGTGGCTCTCCTTCTGAGAAGGAAGATGAAGCTCTCTAAAGGCCTGGTGGTTGTACAACACACGGCCAAATAAGGTAGAGCCACTCAGTGGCAGATTGTCAAAGTTCACATAGTTAGGAATTAGAGAATCAGAGAATCGTGGCGTCCCAGAAGATTGTGAAAGCTAGAGCTTCTGTAACCAAACATGACTTCCTTCAACGCAGGAATGTTCTGTCTCACAGTCTGAGGTCTACACGTCCCAAATGAAGATACTACAGATTGAGTTCATTCTGAATGCTATTCAAAGGGCTGCCCCAGCCCTCTGTTTGGAGTGGTGGGGATGTCTCTATTTTCCTCATGTTTCTTCACATTACACCTCTGCATATCTGTATGTTCAGACTTCCTTTTGTGAAGGACACCATTTTGGATTAAGGTTCACCTGAAGGATCTCATTTTATTACATTTCTTTTTTAATTTTTATTTTATGTGTATGAGTGTATTGCCTGCATGTGTGTAAGTGCACCCATGTTTTGCAGTGCCCGAGGAGGGCAAAAGAAGGTGTCATATTCCTTGGAACTGGAGTTAAGGACTGTGGTTAGCCACCATGTGGGTGCTGGGATTTGAACTCAGGTCCTCTGAAAGAACAGCCAATGCTCTTAACCACTGAGCCACCTCTCCAACCCCAATTTTATTATATTTGTAGACTATCTCCAAATACTGTTGTGTTCTACAGTACTGGATGCTATGATTTCAGCATTGGGACTTTGTGTGATAGAAGGGATGATGAAACAATTTCCTCCGTAACAGACTCCATTAGGGCTTGTAAATCACCAAATATAACAGACAGAACAGGCTTTTGTCAATATGACATAACTAACAAGAAAGAGTGAGTTTAGGACAGAATCCAAATGCCCTTCTAAGTCTGTGGACTTAACTGCAATTTCTAGGAAAGGTGAATGTAAGGATATCACTAAAGTCCGGGAGAAAGGTTAAAAGTAAGGCTGTTGTTGGTATTATTTTCTCTTTTGCTTTTGTTTTTCAATAAACATAAGTTTATCGTCCAGATTATCCTGGATACCCTGCCAGTGAGATATGCTGCTGAAGATCTGGGACCTCTCTTCAAGCTTTTAGTATGGCACAAGGGAAGCTAAGAGAGAGTAGCAGAATTACACAAGACACAGTATGGCAGAGCACACACATCTACTCTCAGAGCCATCTTTAGAAGTGAGGACCACTTGTGTGGCTGCAGTGCATCGCTGTAGGAGTGATGAAGGAGCTTCTCATGGATGGGCTCTTATGGGAGATGCTCCTTGAATCCAGGATCAAAGGACATGGGATCCAGTAGAGATGGGACCGAAGGATGTTCTAAGCCACAGGAATACCAGTGATGAAAGCAGAAAGGCAGGGGATGGAGACCAGTGGAAAGGAATCAAGAAGAGAATGTACATGTTGGGTGTTCTGTTGAAGTTTAGTAAATGTGGTTACAAATATTTCTTAAGAACCATGACATGAATAGCAGAATCAGAAATTGTCTTTTGTTTTTTTTAAGGAAAGATCAAGCTGAACATTTTACACAGGTCTTAGGGTAGCAGCCAGCAATGAATACAGAAGTTGACGTGGTAAGACACAGTCTTCTCAGCTTTACTGGAGAAGGCAATCCAGGACCAGTGACCTAAAACCACAGCTGCAAAAGCCGATGCAGTTAGTTCAGCCTTAAAAGACTCTTTTGAACCTGCTCCACTGATCAGAATTAATTTCAACTCACATAGCTTTTTTTTAAAAATCTTTTCTTTTCTTTTTATTAACCCCTATAATTTAATTTGTATTTTATAATGGTCCCTATCTATGACTGCGAACTAAAGTACCTCTAGTAATCTATTGCTTTCTTCTTTGTTTTTAAACACATAACACCTATTATAATTTTCCTTTGAAAATTCTCTACTTTATCCCACTCAGATACATTTATTTTCCATAGCAACACCTACTTTATGTAGATGTTTTCTTCTACTGTTATTCTGAATGGAAGTTCAGGAAAGACAGAAAGAATTCAGGTCGGCCTGCTCCATCCTAAGCTCACTACACTGTTCCCTGACCTGCCTGGCACTGCCTGTTTCCCAGTCAGCCATTCTCAAAGGCCACCCTGCCTGGGTTGCTTTCATGGATTCTAGGAGTGTTTTCCTCCTTTGGGAGCAGACTGACCTGACAATGTCAGTGAAAAAGGCAATTAATTCCAACTCCAGGAAGCTTTGAAGTCAGAAGAATGCACTGAAATTCTGTACATTCGAAATGGACTATGTAGTGGAGGAGGCTTCCATAGGACTAAGTAATAAAATGTAAAAAGAAAGAAAGAAAGAAAGAAAGAAAGAAAGAAAGAAAGAAAGAAAGAAAGAAAGAAAGAAAGAAAAAAGAAATGTTACAGTGATATGTAGAATGAGCTTCTGCAAAGAGCTTGGCTAGACACAGACTTCACAGAGAAATTTTTCCATGACAGTCTTGATAAATGAGTAACAATTCATCACCGTCATTCAGGCAATAGAAAGCAAATCACAATTCAGTCTATGTGTGTATGCTGGAGGCACTAAAACTCTTCTGAGGCCTTTATAACTAAAAGCAAGAGTCCCTGACTTTCTACCTCCCTGACTTTCTAGCATCTCTGTCAGAGAGAATAACAAGGTATTTCCAGGTTTTTTTTTTCCTTTTTGTCTTTTTGAGACAGGGTCTCCCTATAGCTCCAGCT